TGGTTTCTGTCTTGTCTGATGCTAGGTCAGCTGAGGAAGAATTAAAATTATATACAAGGCTGGGTACCGTGGCTTGCGCCTGTAATCCCAACACTTTGGGAAGCCAAAGAGGGCAGGTCACTTGAAGTCAGGAGTTCGAGACCAGCCTGGCCAACATGGTGAAACCCCTTCTCTACAAAAAATACAAAAATTAGCTGGGCGTGATGGTGTGTGCCTGTAGTCACAGCTATTCAAGAGGCTGAGGTATGAGAATCTATTCAACCTGGGAGGCAGAGGCTGCAGTGAGCCCAGATCATGCCACATTCTAGCCTGGGCAACAGAGTGAGACTCTGTCTCAAAACCAAGCAACAGCAAAAAATTATATACAACAGGTCACTTTGTACATTGTAAAAACCTGTGCAAATGTAAGCGAAAATTATGGATGGCAAAAATTCTTCCATTTCATACTCCACTATCAGAGAGTCTGCTTTGCATTATATCAGAGTCTGACTTATACCATCAGCAGCCAAGCAACTATTCCAACTGCGACTATTTATCATGCTTCAAATAGTGACTCACCAGATTTCATGAAGTCTTTCAAAGGTCCCTCTCAGGCCAGTCTTCCCAGAATTCAAAATAATACGATTATATTAGGTTTTCCTTAACAAGACCTTTCACACACTTGCTGTCCTGGGGCCTCAGAAGCATCCGCTGTTGAGCCCAGCATGAAGCACAGTAGGTACTCACTAACGCCAGTTGATTAAACCACTAATTGGCCCTCAGCACGGTCCAAACAGTAACCTGATATCCTTCACACTAATTGTGCATTCATGATAATCAGATTATTTGCATCATTAGAGACCTGACATAGCTACATGAGGACTCGGTTGTCTCACTAATATATATGAAATATTCATTAAGGAAATAAAGTCCTGATGGCTAAGAAATTCTCTGGTAATGCACACAGATTGACGAAGGTGAGAGCATTAACTGTTTACAAACATCATTCCCTTTACCTTGAAATGAGGGAGGGAGTGGAACAAAAAAAAATACCGGCAAACTATTACTCTCTTCTCTTTATATATATTTTCAAAGAAAAATTAATAGTGAGAAGGTATTTGGCAATAAATAGGTGAAATATTAGGAAAACGTATCATCTGAAGCCTTACTATTTATGAGATATTAACATCTATGTTGCTGCTGGTCCCCAGTGGCTCTTGTTTCTGAAGAATTGGGACTATGTCAAACAGTGAAAAGTAAAATATTGGGAATAATTTGTTACATCATCTGCCACCAAACGGAGGTACAAAAATACTCAATTCAAATTAGATTAGACTTGCATTGTCTACAGTTTGTGAAATTATGATCTTAATTTTTTTTTTTTACCAAATACAGTAAAATCTTGCTGTTTTCATTTTATCTGATTTCTTGCAATTAACAGCATTCTCTCCAATCATTTAAAAGGATTCGGAATGTCAGTGCTTCAAAATTACTTTCCCTAAAGTTAAAATGTGATTATAAGTCACTTTCTATGAGGGAAAATAAATACTCATGTCTGTACATATAAAGATGTGGTCTATCAGAGTAAGATCCTCAAAAGCAGGACTTTGCCGTGTTCAGTTCATCTCTGAATACCTAACAATTCCTCTGTGCTGCCTGTATGTGTTTTATAAGGATACATTCAATTAAAGAACGCCAGAGACATTTTTGTTCTTTTTGTTCTTTTTTTCCCAACATTCACCTTGAAAATTTTCAAATTGAGAAAAAAATTGCCAGAATAAAAGAAAGTACACTGATACACATCTAGAATCCCTCAGTAATCATTCATGTGTTTAACACATGAATTCTCTCTCTCCCCACTCCCTCTAAGAACAAAAACTTGTTCTTTTAAAAAAAACTTTTTACGTTTTTATTTTAGTTCGGTGGGCACATGTGCAGGTTTGTTATGAGGGTATACTATGTGGTGCCAAGATTTGGATCCCATCACCCAGATAGTGAACATAATACACAATAGGAAGCTTTTCAGCCCTCGCCACCATACCGCTCCCTCCTTTTGGAGTCCCGTGTCTACCTTTGCCATCTTTATGTTCATGTGGTCCCAAGATTTAGCTCCCATTTGCAAGTGAAAACGTGATATTTGGTTTTCTGTTTATGCATTAGTTTGCTTAGGATAATGGCCTCTAGCTTCATCCATGTTGCTGTGAGGAACATGATTTCATTTTTCATGGCTGCATAGTATTCTGTGGTGTGTGTGTAACACATTTTCTTTATCTGATCCACTGCTGATGGCCACCTAGGTTGATTCCATGTCCTTGCTGTTATGAACAGTGCTGCAGTGAACTTGCAAGTACGTGTGTCTTTTTGGTAGAACAATTTATTTTCCTTTGGGTATATACCCAGGGATGGCTGAGTTGAATGGTGGTTCCATTTTTAGTTCTTTGAGAAATCTCCAAACTGCTTTCCACAGGGACTGAACTAATTTGCATTCCCACCAATAGTCTATAAATGAAAAACCTGCTCTTGCATAGCCAGCAGTAAAACGATCAAATTCAGGAAAATTTAACATTGGCAGAATGCTCTCTACTAGTGAGTAGTCCTGATTCTGTTTTTGCCAGTTGTCATAGTAATGCCCTTTTAAAGCATTCCTCTCTTGACTCCAGGTTCACAGGTTGCATTTAGCTGTTGTCCCTTTGGTGTCCTTAGAGCTGGAAGAGTTCCTCAGTTTGTCTCTGTTGTTTATGACATTGACATTTCTGAAGAGTACAGGCCAGTGCTTCTTCAAAATCAGATCAATATTATGCATTTTTGGCAGAAATACTAAGGATGTATTACATTACAGAGCATTACATTAGTAGATATACGATGTTAGTTTCTTCCATCATGGGGGATGGTAACTTTGATCATTTGGGGTAAGGTGATTATCTGCCAGATTCTTCCTTTGTAATTAACAAACAATCTCTGAGGCGTACTCTGACACTGTTAATTCTGTTCTCTAATACACTTCATTCAATCATTTTAGCATTCATTCATGATCCTTGCCTGAATCAGTGATAACTGCCTTGGTTGAAAATGGTGATTTTTGGCCAGATGCAGTGGCTCATGCCTGTAATCCCAGCACTTTGGGAGGCTGAGATCAGAGGGTCAGTTGACCCCAGGAGCTCGAGACCAGCCTAGGCAACATGGCAGAAACCTGTCTCTACAAAAAATTTAAAAATTAGCTGGCCGTGACAGCACACACTTGTAGTCCCAGCTACTCAGGTGGCTGAATGAGAGTGATGCCTTGAGCCCAGGAATTTGAGGCTACAGTGAGTTATGATCACACCACTGCACTCCAGCCTGGGTGACACAGAGAGACCCTGTGATTAAAAAAAAAAAAGAAGAAGAATAGTTTCATTTTCTACCTTTTTAAAATCTGTCTGTCTTTGTGAGCAGCAATATCAATAAGGCTGTACAGGTTCTTCTTATTAAACTGGTTATTGCTCATTACCCTCATTATTCATTTTGATGCTCATATTGTCCCAGCTTTCCCCAGGGGTGCCTCTTCAGTCTCACTCCTGTGTTCATTTGACATAGCCCCATTAGTCTGGATCGTTCTTTAGCCCTTAGCATATCTATATCAATTCAGATATAGATATTTATAGCCTTAGCATGTCTTCATTCAACATACTGCTCAAATGACAGATTTTATTCTTGCAGCAAATATTTTTCGAGATACTGGTGTGTCACAGTACTGATCTTACTCATGAGCCAGTGAAAAGCCAGGCAATTAGCTGGGCGCAGTGGCTCATACCTGTAATCCCAGCACTTTGGGAGGCCAAAGCTGTGGATCACGGGGTCAGCAGTTCAAGACCAGCCTGGCCAAGATGGTGAAACTCCATCTTTACTAAAAATACAAAAATTAGCTGGGTGCAGTGGCAAGCACCTGTAATGCCAGCTACTTGGGAGGCTGAGGCAGGAGAATCACTTGAACTCCGGGTGTGGAGGTTGCGGTGAGCTGAGATCACACCACTGTATTCCAGCCTGGGCGACAGAGCAAGACTCCATCTCAAAAAAAAAAAAGAAAAAAAAAAAAAAATCCAGGCAATTAAGTTGACCCTTGCAGTGTAATGCAGGGAGTTACAACAGCCATGAGTTGCATGTGCCATGGATGCACAACGAAAATCTCCCAATCCCACTGGGTGAACTGAGAAAGACTCCAGAGAGAGTGCATATCATCTCCTAGGCCCAAAAAATGAATAGAAATAAGTGTGTGGAGGTGGCATCATGTTCCAGGCTGTGGGAAGCACGTGCCTCTTGAGGAACTGAAGGTATTTGTTAAGTCTAGGACAGCGTGGATGTGCTGGGGGCATGGATTGTTGCAGGCCGCAGGGACGCAGCAGTGCAAGAGGAGAGGCTGAAGGGGTGGGCCAGGGCCTTGTAGCTCTATTAAGGACCCTTCCCAATGGCTGTCCCTAGAGGCAGTTGTTCTCAACACTGACTGTACATTTGCGCCCCTGGTGAGCCCCCGGGGGAGCTTGTCAGAAATACCAATAACATACCCCCCTTCCAAACCAAGTAAATCAGGATCTGGCTGGGCATGGTGGCTCACGCCTGTAATCCCCGCACTTTGGGAGGCTGAGGCAGGCAGATGACCTGAGGTCGGGAGAATGAGACCAGCCTGACCAACATGAACAAATCCCATTTCTATTAAAAATACAAAATTAGCTGGGCTTGGTGGTGCATGCCTATAATCCCAGCTACTTGAGAGGCTGAGGCAGGAGAATCGCTTGAACCTAGGAGGCAGAGATTGCGATGAGCCAAGACTGCACCATTGCACTCCAGCCTAGGCAACAAGAGCAAAACTCCATCTCAAAAAAAAAAAAAAAAAAATCGAGATCCTAGGTGTGGCAGGGAACTCTAGGGTCTATATATTTATTTTCCCTATCTAGCTTCTAGAGAATTTGTCATGGAGAATGGTGTCGTGTGTCATAGAGCTAAACCTTTCAAAACTAAAATTTAAAAAGACTTATTTTATCTTATAGGATTTTGAACTCAACAATGAACTAAAGATGAATGTCCTAAATTTGCTAGAAGAAGTTTTGCGAGACCCAGACCTTCTTCCCCAAGAAAGGAAAGCCACCGCGAATATCCTCAGGTGAAGGCAATTGAAGATGCCGACTGTATCTTGGTTGATTTCGTGACATTGGTTGATTTGTGCTATGTTCATAGAAAATAAGAGCCTATCAAACCAGAATGATAAATCTTAGAATCCAGGGGACAGTTGGGACTATGTTTTTAGCAGTAAAGTGTTATCTATCATCTTCTCTTTCCTGGGGGCAATTTGGTTCTGCTGTCTCAGGAAGACTTGGGACTGGGTGGTATAGCTCATGCGGAGTGCAATTGCTGTTATATATGGAGGCAGACAGCAGTTTACTATAGAACCAACAGTTAAAGAAAGGAAGCCTGGAGAAGCCTCTCCTGTGAGTCCAGCAGGCATCAAAGAGAGACAGCTTTTCCTCATGTGGGTTGTAATTGTTTATTGCAAGCTCATGTTTGTGAGCAGGGTAGTAGTGTCTGTGGGAGTCTCTTGCACGTAAATTGTGGATGTGCCATCACAGAGTAGTTATGAATCTTCTTTGGCTTCTTTCACTGGTCCTTGATCAACTTTTCTGCAAGTTGTCCATTTAGGATTTCCACATCATGTAGGTGGTATAATTATGGGGGATTGTATAAGGTATGACCGCACACTTCTATGTGATAAAATCTTCCCCTTTGGGATCCTGCTAGAGATTTATTTGTGTCCATAGTTGTTGTACCCAGCATCCAAGTGGGTAACAAGCTTTCTTATAGCTTCTTGAACTGGTGAGTGGATGTTTTCTAGTTCACTGTATGTGGAAAGGGGCAGCCACTGCTGGCTCTGTGCAGACATTGCAGTTACAGCTTCCCAGCTCACGCATAACCGTGTCCTTTGTCCCTGCTTGAGGATGGGAAGCCCAGCATCTCTCTGCCAGGGTCTGGCACTTCTTTACCACTCTGACTTCTAGCTCCCTCTTCATTTACAACCTCTAGCAACGACCTTCCTTTCCTAGACCTTGGCTACATTGTCTGCTTGTTAACATTATCCAGAAGGCTTGTGTCATCCACAGGCAGTCTATTTTTAGCTCAGTCCATGTTTTTTTTTTTTTGTTGTTGTTGTTGTTGTTTTTAGGGACATAACATTTTATTGTCATCCAGCACCTGTGACAGTTTCATGTCTCTCTAAAGGAGACAGGGAATTGGAGCATTGTGGGTTGTTTTAAAGGAAAAGAGGAGTAGCTAGGCATATCCAGGTGCTACTAAAACAACCAAGCTCACTCCTGACATGCTCCTCCTCACAGTCTGCTTTATTGTCCCCTTTAAAAGTCTGGAACAGCATGTAGCAAAACAAATAAATTACTTTGCATTTCAAAAAGTCCTTTTCCCTGATGCAGCAACACCAGATATTGCTTTGTGTTGTGTTAGCAACCCGCCTGTAAGTCCTTCTTAGCCCCCATTAGCTGAAGATCCCATAGCCAGACCTTGCGTTGGTGTAGGGGCTTTTATGTAGAGAATTGTATCTCCATATATCTGTACCCCCAAAAGATATATTGTAGTCCCATACCTCCCATACCTCAAAATGTGACCTCATTTGGAAATGAGGCCATTGCCAATGTCATCAGTTAAGACAAGGTAACTGGAGTAGGATGGACCCCAATCCACTTTGATTGGCGTCCCTTATAAGAAGTCAACCATGTGGCTCATGTCTGTAATCCCAGCACCTTGGGGGGCTGAGGCAGACGGATCACCTAAGGACAGGAGTTCGAGACCAGCCTGGTCAACATGGTGAAATCCAGCCAGGTGTGGTGGTGAGTGCTTGTAGTCCCAGCTACTTGGGAGACTGAGGCATGAGAATCACCTGAACTCAAGAGGCGGAGGTTGCAGTGAGCCAAGATGGCACCACTGCACTCCAGCCTGGGTGACAGAGCGAGACTGTTCAAAAAAAAAGAAGTCAACCATGGAAGACAGACACAGAGACAATGGCATCTGAAGGTGGAAGCAGAGACTGAGTGATGTAGCTGCAAGCCAAAGAATGCCAAAGATCAGCGGCAAACCACCAGCAGCTAAACAGGCAAGGGAGGGCTCCCCTCCAGGTTTGGAGGCAGCACAGCCCTGCTGACAGCTCCATGTCAGTTCTCTCTCTGGAAGCAGGAGACAGCACATTTCTGTTGTTTTAAGCCACTCAGTATGTGGGATTTTGTTAGGGCAGCCCTAGGAAGCAATTTGGGGCTGTCTTCACATTTTCCAGTCTATGAAAACATCTAAATAAGCCCAGGGATTCCATTCCCGTGCCTGTTTTCAGATTTTAAAATTGTAAGTACATATTGAGGTGAAGTCTGGTTTCAGTGAATGAGTGACTCTGTCGGTGAGTGATTACTGTTTCTGTTGCCTTCGTGTAACTAGTTTATACGCTCTTTGCATTTAAAACACTAATATTTAAAAACTGCATTCTGAAAGTGTGTGCCCCTAGGGACATTTGACTAAATAGCTTTCAGGGAAGTGAGGGTGTTCGGGCTGGGAAAAACTGTCAGGATCAGCCAGTATGAGGGCATCTTGTTGCCAGTCCCCTCAAGATGCCCATGCCCGACTTGACCCATCAATTCTGAGAGTTTTCTGTCTGCATCAAGAGGTGACCTCAGAAGTCAGTTAATTGGAGTTGGTGCTTAAGGTGAATCCTGGCTGGGCGTGGTGTCCCACGCCTGTAATCCTAGCACTTTGGGAGGCTGAGGCAGGTGGATTACCTGAGGTCGGGAGTTCGAGACCAGCCTGACCAACGTGGTGAAACCCTGTCTCTAATAAAAATACAAAATTATCTGGGCATGGTGGCACATGCTTGTAATCCCAGCTACTCAGGAGGCTGAGGCAGGAGAATTGCTTGAACCTGGGAGGCGGAGGTTGCAGTGAGCCAAGATCGCGCCATTGCACATTCCAGCCTGGGTGACAAGTGCAAAACTCTGTCTCAAAAAAAAAAAAAAGATGAATCCTGTTTGCCATCCCAGGTCTTGATTATTCATCAGGTTTCAGATGTGCCAACTCTTTTTACTGAATAATGACCTGAAAGTTAGAAGGGTAAGACTGATAGGGAATAGACATTTTAGTCGGCGGTACAGCTTGAAACCGCAACACTGAGCAGAGTCTGATTTTCTTTTTTCTTTCTTTTTTTTTTTTTTTTTTGAGACAGAGTTTCGCTCTTGTTACCCAGGCTGGAGTGCAATGGCACGATCTTGGCTCACCGCAACCTCCGCCTCCTGGGTTCAGGCAATTCTCCTGCCTCAGCCTCCTGAGTAGCTGGGATTATAGGCACACACCACCATGCCCAGCTAATTTTTTGTATTTTTAGTAGAGACGGGGTTTCACCGTGTTGACCAGGATGGTCTCGATCTCTTGACCTCGTGATCCACCTGCCTTGGCCTCCCAAAGTGCTGGGATTACAGGCGTGAGCCACCGCGCCTGGCTAAGGGTCTGATTTTAGCTTTGGCAGGATGTCACAGGGCTACGTCTTGGCTCAGCCATTGACAGATGTCAAGTTTTCAACCAGTCCGAACCTGTTTCCTCATTTATAAAGTGGGACTCGTAATAGCTACTTCATTAGGTTGTTGTGAAGAGTACATGACGTCATATGTGTAAGGAGTTAACACGATGCCTGGAAAGTCATTAGCACTCATAGTAAAGTGAGTATTATTACTGTTAGAAGCACCAACAGTAGTTCCTGGAAAAAGCAGCTTCTGCCATGAAGGCCATATGGCCCAAGCAAAACCAGGCTGGATCTGAGTCACACTCCACTTTCTCTAGGCTTCATCACCTTTTCCACACAAAGAGAGCATGGACCAATCCCAGGACAGACACTGGTTGCTCTTGGCTCTGTTTTGGACTCCCCATATTAAAAGAGGAATTTTCCATTCATACAACTTAGATAATCCCATTTCCTTTTATTTGGTGTTTCATTATAAATGCACAATTATTAAACTGTTGATACTGCTGTTAGATGTGGTAGTGGTGGTGCTGGGAAACCAGGGATCCTGGAATGTTCATCAAAGCCCAAGGGTAGCCAGAAGACTAGAAGCAAATATTTCCTCTATAGGATCTGAACCAGAAGTGCAGAGGCCTCCACATCTGAAGAGAAAGAATTCTGAACATGCCCTCTAGAAAATACAGGCTATGACTGTGAGAGAAACATATCATATATGGTAGTTAAGTGCAGCCCGACATTCGGAGATATATGCATTCCTGACATATAAGACGTATGAACATAAAACATGTTTTTATGCATATGTTGCCTTAATGCAACAAAGCAAATGCTCTTTTTAGTGATGCATCCCTGACTCACAGTCTCATAGGGGTCACTTAATGATACTGAATACACTTAATGGCCATATATAGTTTGTTGCCCTGTTTGTAAATAAAAACCTCTACTCAAAACTTTTATTTCTAAAATACCATCTCTCTTCCTCCAAAGTTGTCTAACTAGCTGTCTTTAAAATCTTTTCAGTGTACAGATTTTTTTAGACACCTAACATGCCACAAAATAAAAAGAAACAGTGATTAACTTCTTGGATGTTCAGCTGTGATGGGCTCAGGTCATAGAAAAGTCATCCCCAAACCCCACGTAGCATCAACGAGAAGGCATAAAATGTTAGGTAACTTAATGGAACCAGAGGCCGTCTTGGAAAATGAGGGTAAGATCATTGAGAAGAGGAACATTTAATGGGAACTAACTAACTTTTTGACCTTTGCTTTCCAAGGGAAATATATTACCCAGCTTCATAAAAAAGATCTTTCCCACTGGCACACATAATTATGGAGCCACAGATCTCTCCCCAGGAACCTAGATTATGGTGGAAAAAATGACACAAACTTCCAGAAAAGTCACTGTTATCCCCTATGTGTCACCCTTCCATATGATTTAATAGTCTTTGGAGAAATAGTTAGCTTTAACTTATTTTTTCCTCATCTTAATCTGCCATTTAAGATAAGATGACTATTTCTTTTCTTTGCCTAGAGATGGAGTCCCACTCTGTCACCCAGGCTGGAGTGCAGTGGCGCAATCTCGGCTCACGGCAACCTCTGACTCCGGGGTTCAAGCAATTCTCTTGCCTCAGTCTCCTGAGCAGCTGGGGTTACAGGTGCCTGCCTCCTACACCTGGCTTTTTTTTATTTATTTTATTTTTTTTTATTTTTAGTAGAGATAGAGTTTCGCCATGTTGGCCAGGCTGGTCTCGAACTCCTGACCTCACGTGATCTGCTCACCTTGGCCTCCCAAAGTGCTGGGAATATAGGTGTGAGCCACCGCGCCCGGCAAGACGACTATTTCTTTCTGTTCACAAATAATATGGCTAAGTGCTGATAAGAGGGCTACTAGTATAATCTAGAAGGCTCCGGCTCCCCCTTCAGACAGCAGAGGGAAGGAAGCTGTGTTTCTTGACTGTGTGCTGTGTGTGGGACCCTTGAAGAGGTGCCTCCCCTGAGCCTGCTTAAGAGAAGCACAGAGTAAGGAAGGGCACAACTGGCCCAGAACCCTGGGCAACTTAGTCACGTCTTTGAGCTTTTGTTTCTTCCTCTGTAAAATGGAGATCACAATGCCTCCATTATGCACTATTTTGTATAACAGTCCCTTGGAAGGGATTTGTTAGGATACAGGAGATAGTGCATATCCAATGCTTAGCATGTGCCTGGTATAGATGTACAGTAAGCCATCTCTGTTGATACTGTAGTTTTGAGGGTTTGGTTGCTGTTTTAATCAACTCAGAACACAACAGAACATCACATCATCATTCGTTCTTTTAAAACAAGCTTCCTGCAGCAGTCAGACTACTTGGTTTGGGACTGTTCAGATATTTTAATACTTTTAATATGTGCTTGTGCCTTCCTTTTGGAAAACGTAAAATGCTTGTCTTCAATGGCAAATTATGTAATTGGAGCCCTACTGCACTCTAATTTTCCTGGACTCTGAACTTCCGTTAAATATAAAATACCTTCTACTCTAAAACCAGTATCTAAGGTATTAACTTGTGTTTAGTCATTTATTAATTCATTCGTCAATTTTTAAAAAAAAGATATTTATTGAGAGCTGAGTAACATGTCTGAGACTCAGGGCCACAAGTGTCTGAGGGAAGTCCATCTGCAGTGCAAGGGGGAGAAGCTAAGCCCCTGTGTTTCTGGTCAACATGAGCTTGAGATGGGGGTGGCCCTGCATCTCCTGACTCTGTGACAGCAGGGAAGACCTGCAGTAGGGGAGAGAGGTTTGGGGGGGTGGGCACTCGGGCCTAGGGGTACAACTGGCTGATAGCATTAGAGGCTGCTCCATTTTACATCATAGACAGTAACTCAGAGCACACCCAGCGTGCTCACCCTCAGGTTCACTTTGATGGTGGTTGTTTCATTTACAGCCACGTATGTAACAGGTTGGCTCTTGGTTCTAAGTCAGCTGTCCTGATGATTCTCTTATACCTTGAGCATGTTTTCTGTTTGGGGATTGCTCATCTCCAGCTCAGCAGCCTGTTGTGCTGCATGGCATTTAGACCCAAATCTTCAGACCTCCCATCCGGGGAAAACCAAACTGCATTTTGTAGTTTCCCTCTTAGGTTGTCTATTTTTTTTTTCATGGAGGATAATTTGATGTCTTTTTCAGGGCCCTTTCACAAGATGATCAAGATGACATCCACCTAAAATTAGAGGATATAATTCAAATGGTAAGTCTGACCACATTTTTGTCTAGCACAACTGTGTGCAAACTACCTCTCCAAGGCGAGCAATATGCTTGTAACCAATCAGGAATGTTGTAGTATTAGACCCTCTGTCCTCTCTCTGAAGCTCTGTGAGATGAACCACATTTGGTGTGGGGTCTAGCAGTTGGTCTAAGATACTCATGTTGGCTTTGATATTTTTTAGCTTTCTGCCATTTTTTTACAGTTAGAATTTAATGGTGAACTTCGTGCTTCCACACAGGCAGCTGTCTGCCTCGTTGACCTGCAGTGAGATGGCAGGCCCCTCGTTCCTGGTGTTTCATCTCCCTCCCTCATCTCTTGCAGACTGACTGCATGAAGGCCGAATGCTTTCAGTCCTTGTCGGCCATGGAGCTGGCTGAACAGATCACCCTCCTGGACCACATCATTTTCAGAAGCATTCCCTACGAGTGAGTGCCACCCCCATAGCAGCAGGGCTTGGCTGCACTCTCTGGCTTAGAAATTGACATTATTCCTAAGGCAGAGTGTGGGTGTGTGTGCGTGTGTGTGTGTGTGTGGGTGCATGCACACGCGCGCGCACACACGCACACACACAGATGTAAATCTTAAGATAATTTGGTACCGCTTGAATGTCTTCTGATTTCAGTTTATGTTTGAAATATTGATTTGGGGGACTCTCAAGATGGCTACTCTGTAGGCACTTGGGTTCCTGTAATTCAAGGATAGGACAGTACAAAGAAATTCACATTCTGTACCACAGAATATGATACAGAATGTGTACAGACTGTGTACAGACTGGGAATTTCTGTGGTACAGAATGTGAATTTCTGTGGTACAGACTGTGAATTTCTTTGTACTGTCCTATCCTTGAATTACAGAAACCTCAGTACACAGTAGTGGTTCTCAAGCTTCAATGTACCTAAAATCATTTGGGAAGCTTGTTAAAAATGTACATTCCTGGTCAGCCCCCCACCCAGAATTTCTGATTCTAATAGATTTGGTTGAGGCAAGGAAACTGTTTTCAAGGAGAACCCCAGATAATTCTGGGTGGTCTAAGCCTGTGCTTTAGGAATCACTGATCTAGAGAGAAGGCTCTAAATTCTGCTACAATTTTTCACCTGCTTCCCTACATTAACAAGTATTGCTAAGCTGTGACCATGGGCTCGTCACAAAGCCTTTTGATTTCCTTGTGTGTAGAGTCGGGGGGGGGCTCTTTATGTACCTCTGAGTGTCATATTCGGTAGCAGCACAAACAAGGCTTTTGTTTGGACAAATGGCAACTGTTAGCACATGTTGTCTATGAGCTAATAACTAAGCTGGAGGTAAAGGGTGAGTTGGGCAGGGACATGAATGAGCCATGTTGCATACAGAGTAGAGGACGTCCATGATGATGGAGGTTTGGACGTGGGCAGGGTGGGTGGGTTAGGGGTCAGAGCTGCAGCTGTGTCAGAGAGGCACCAGGGACGGGGCCAGAGAATGCCCCTGCAGACTCTTCTTTTGTGAATTTTATTTTCTTTCCCTCCCTGTCTTCCAGCACTCATGGAGATAGCCATGAAAAGAAAAAGAAAAAAAGAAAGAAAAAGAAATGTGGACCATTGGCTATTTGAACACTTGAGTTAGAAGCCACAGTCTCTTCTCACCCACTTCCATCCACTGCCCCCCTCACCTCCTCACCCAGCCTGTAGGGCAGTGAGGATGGGGAGCCATGGCCTCCATGAAAGAGGAAAAATAGCAAAGCCAGACTTTTGTAGTTGCCCTTGGTGTGGTCTCTTTCTGGGCACCCCCCCACCTCTTGTCCCTGTCCCCCCAGTTCCTGTGTGAATATCTACCAATCGTTTCCATCCAATGGAACTGGCACGCCTCTGTTTCTAGCACTCTGCAGGATGGGAGCGGGACCAGCAACAGCAAGGCACAAAGAACCCTGCCCAGGGACTCAGTCATCGTCTCACCTTAGAAGGTGTCAGAGTAATTTTGAGTTATTTTAATGCCTATACAAAATAATTCCTGTATGCTCCGTCTCGCTTGTCCCTTGTTTCTTGCTGTGTCTGGTGCCCTGCTCAGGAATGAAGTGAATGATCAGGGATGCTGCCCTGAAGACAGCCCATCTAACCGGGTGGAGCTCCTGCCTTGCTGAACTGCCTGGTCAGGTGAACGTGCGGCACAAGCCTAACAAGGAGCGCTTTTCAGCCCTTAAAATGTGTGCTCTCCTGAGAACAAAGCACAATCCCTGCATCCTCCAGGAGAGTGGCAGGCAGGGCAGAACAGAGGGAGAAAATTCTGCTTCTGACTCATATTTTTGGTAGTGATGAAATTTTTGGACCCTCTGCTAAGGCTTAATATTTTTAAAAGCTCATCCTGGGAAAATATTCTTGATTTCTAAGTAGCGCTTAACCTCTTTATTTCCCTTGTATTGGTTCTTGTTTTCCAACTCCAGAGAAGCCTTTATAGGATCCTAATAAAGATGCAGTTCCAAACATTTATAAGAAAGCTGGAAACGGAAAAATCTTCCTTTTTGGCATTGAGAAGTAAACGGCTAGAGTCGAGGTCAAATTCACTTGTGAGGTTCGCAGCAGCAGGTGTCAGGAAACATTCTAGACAGTGTCACATGGAATGTTTCACATATTCATGACAATTACCCAGGATCATAGCCACCATTTTTTTAAAAAACTTAATTTGGTTTTGTGTGTTGTTTTGAACTTTCAGGGAGTTTCTTGGGCAGGGGTGGATGAAGCTGGACAAAAACGAAAGAACGCCTTACATCATGAAAACCAGCCAACACTTTAATGACGTGAGTGACCATCAAAGTAGAGCCTTGGGTGGGTCACAGGAAGATGGATATTGGAGTCTTAAGATGCACCTAAAATAAAGCAACTCTGCCACCCACTTTTTAAACAGAATTGTTGGGATATTGAAGACAAGCTTAAATCTCCTCTAACAGCTCACAGTAATGTAATCATGTCCAGTTAACCTCCTGACATATGAGAGGTTCACCTTTGATGGTGCCCAAGTCTGGTAGGTGCTCAGTAATGTACAGGTTGCTGTTTCTGTTTTTGTCAGGATCATCACTACTTCGTGGTCATAAATTGACTAACAGAATGAGCAGCACCTGTGTCACTGGCCCCTGGTGGTGTTGGTGACAGTCAGGCTGGGTTGGTGCAAGTCCTTATCATTACTGAATGTTTGGCCTGACTTACATTCCCGGGTTAAGGGGTCTCTTGGAGCATAATCACATTGTTGCTGTGGTTCTGTGCCATGGTGGCCAGCTGTCGGTCCATCTTCCAGCTCTGCTTTTCCCCAACAGTGAGATTGGGAGATGCTTTTCTACCTCCCAGCTCTTAATTCGTGCTGTTCTCATAGTCTTAGTCCCGTGGTAGAACAAGCAATAGGTGTGTGAGTGTCTTTTGGCCTATCCAGGCAAAGGGAAGTCCCCCTTTCCAGTTTCACCAAACTATAGTAAATAAATAATGATGCTTTCTTTAAAACAGCAACAACACACTACCAGGAACCCCATAGGTAAATTAATAAGTCATCTAGAAACAAAATGCAAAAACGACAGTTTAGATTCCCAAGACAGTGTTTTGTGCAGGCTTTCCCCAGAGCACGTGGATGCTGAGCAAATGCTATCACACAATGAGCTTCAGTGCCACTGCTGCCTAAAGGACAAGGAGCATGACCCATCTAGTCCTTCCCTGAGAAACAGATTCCCTGCGGTGGGAAACAAACCTGTTACCTGTGGTAAATCAACACACCGGATATAATGGACACTCCAAAGATAGGTTCGATCCCAGGCTCCAGGCCCACATGTTTCCTCCGCTGGGATGACCGATGTGTTGCATTGTAGACAATTACAGATGGAACCTGTCATTTGCACCCCAGACTTGCCCAGCCTGCTTCTTCATTGTCCTCTCTGTTCTCAGTCTTGGGTAGTGGCCTCACTACACACTCACTTACCCAAGCACAGGCTCTAGAAGTCATCTTCTTCCTTATTCCTTACGAACCTCGCCCTCACCACTGCCCAACAGATTTGCAAACCCTAGATCTACATGCATCTCAGGCCCTTCCCCACCCTGCCTTCCCCACTGCCACCACTTTGATGTGGCCTTTTATCTTTTCTCCCCAGGAGCTCCTAATTCATCTCTCCCCTGCAACCTCACTGCCCTCCAATCCATCTGTTAGCTCCAGGGTCAGGTTCCAGCCCATGCTGAGGTCTGAGGGGAGTGGGTGGATACCTGAAAGAACACAGAACACGTGGGTTTGGGGGGGTGCATAGGTAGGTGAAAGATGGTTTTATTCAGCAGCAGCTCTCTCATCAACAGCTCTCCTAATGCTGTGCGCTCTGTCTCTGCTGCTTGAGCCATGGCCACCATGCACAGCTGCATGGCCGGCTCTCCCTTGCCTTCAGGGCCAGCAGCTTAACTCTTTCTCTCTCTGGGCATGAGCTCCTGTACAGTGTCAGCAGGGCAATTATACCTTTTAAAGGCAATAGTGGCTTAGAGCCAAGTGACGGCCTTCCATGTTACGGTTACATGGTTGTGATAACAACTGGAGTTACACACCTGTGCTCTAAATTCAGAGTCACTCCAGCCTGGATGTCCACCTTGGCCTATCCTTGACCAAACACAGCCATGTACCTTACACCGTCCTTCATGCAGTGGCACAGGAATGACTTATCTGAAAAGTCAATCTAATTATCTCCTTCCCTTTGACAAAAATGTGTCAGTGGCTTCCCCTTACCTTCAGGATATGGTCCCAGCTGCTCAATCTGGCATGCAAGAGCCCTGCCCATCTGTCACCCTTGTGTCTCCCAGTCCTTGTGCCCCTCAGATGGCTGCCACATCCTCCATTACATCATCCCTCCCGCCTCTGTCCCCTTGCTCTTATACTCGGATCCTTTAAGACTCAATGCAAGGCTGGATACTGTAGCTCACACCTGTAATCCCAGCACTTTGAGAGGCCGAGGTGGGAGGATTGCTTTAGCCCAGTAGTTCAAGACCAGCCTGGGCAACACAGTGAGACCCTGTCTCTACAAATACAAAAAATTAGCCAGGCATGGTAATGCATACCTGTGGTCCCAGCTACTTGGGAGGCTGAGGTGGGAAGATCACTTGAGTCCTGGAGGTTGAGGCTGCAGTGAGCTGTGATCATGCCACTGTACTCCACCTGGGTGAAAAAACAAAAACCTTCAAAAAAAAAAAAAAAAAAAAAAACAACTCAATGCAGGTATCACCTCTTCCTAGAAGCCTCCTCTGTACTAGACCAGATGCCCCATGCTGCCTGTATATTCTCAAATCCCACCACGAATAGACTTAATTTTGTGTTTCACTGCATGGCACTTACCTGTTTATGTATCTGTGCCCCTCCCCTTCCCACCTGCCTAGGCTCAGATTACCTTAAGGTCAGGGACACGGATTTGTCTTTCTGTTCCCAGCACCGAAAAGAATCCTGTTCTATTGCATTTCCTCAATAGTTATTGGCAAGAACTTCTTCATCAAAATTACTGATTCACAAAAGCACTTCTTACTGGAACAAACTGGATTCCAGATGATTCCTCTCCCCACGCTAAGGATGCACAGGCACTTGGCGAATAGCACCGCAGCAGGTGCTTTAGTGAATGTCCACAGTGGCAGTGTTGAGGCACTGTGAGACCTTAAGTAGCTTCAGAATCATCAAAGAATGGGTGAATCCCTCAGATATAGTGTATGGATATAAGATTACATGCCCCATATTCCCTTTGTTAACACAGTAATCCTATTTCACTTTTTTTCCTTTCCCTTTTGCAAGAGCTGAGCTTCTTAAACTGGCTTTAAGTAATAAAATTACAGTACTTAGCCTCGAAACTGTAGGTCCTTTTAACTGCTGGTAAAAGAGTAAGATTAGATGAAGGAAACGTTCTCCTTTTCCCTGCAGCCAAGTGTTTCTGGTTTGAGAGTTAATCAGTTCAGAATTTGATCTAACTGGGGCCAAGTGTTTTTTTTTCTCTTTCTCTGTGATAACTATGGCTTCCCAGAGTGAGTAATCACACACATTGAGGGCCAAGGAGTATGGGGAAAGGCCCCAGGGAGTGACAGCCATGATCTGCCGACTTTGCCTTTCCGCAGGCATTGGGTTTTTCTGTCCCATTTCCTTAGTAATTATTAGAAATGACACCATCAAAATTGCTGATGAACAAAACCACCTCTTCCCCCAACAAGCAGGAATCCAGATAATACCTGTCTTCACTCAGAGGACGAACAGATGCTCATTAGTTTGCTATTATTACAGACTTTAGTCTCTTTAGAAAGTTGGTATCTAAATGTAGACTATGATCTTCCCCTACTCAACACCCTGCCTTCCTGACATGTCTGCAAGTAATTTACATGTTTTGCCTGAATGCACTGGTTTGGCTCTTAGATTGCCTTTTTGGGCTCTTTGATTGTCTCAGATGAGTAACCTGGTGGCCTCCCAGATAATGCACTATGCTGATGTCAGCTCCCGTGCCAACGCCATTGAGAAATGGGTGGCAGTGGCCGACATCTGCCGATGCCTGCACAACTACAACGGTGTGCTGGAGATCACCTCGGCCTTAAACAGAAGTGCCATCTACAGGCTGAAGAAAACCTGGGCCAAGGTCTCTAAGCAGGTGAGCCTCAGCGTGTGACACATCCTGCTGCTAAGAGGGTGAGAGGCTGGGAGATGGGAGCCAATTAAATATTACTAATTAGGAAATCATTAACTGAAATGAGCCGCTCAGTTGCCAAAGAAAGGTGCAACATGGGTAATTACAGTGCTCTTACTACTTAATTGATTTCATTCATGTGCATTTCTAAAACAGTCATTAAAGCATTTTGGGGGACAACCACAAACAATGTGGTTGTCAGTCAAGAGTTGTTTCCTGAACTATTTCAGAGGGTACATTGACTCTGAGTAAGCATGCTTATATCCAACTGGGTTCATTCTCTCCCAAAGTGAGGGTACAAACTCCTTGGGGCCAAAAGCCAGAGACAAAAGGCCTCAATGTTCACCTTTTTCTTTCTCATTCATGTAGTAGATGTAAAGTTTTAGCATAATGACTTAGATGTATAGAAACGTAATTTTTGTTTTCTTTCATTAGTCTCAGCTTGCCCATGTCTGTCATTTTCACTCAGATAATTTCAAGATTCAAACTGAATCGTGATTCTTCTTCTGCCCTTTCTCCTGGCCTTCTCCCTGGGTGTTGGGTGCCCAGGGCATCTCTGGGCTTCTGGGCGCCTGTCAGCTCCTCTGGCCTCCTGTGGTCATCCTTTGCTGATTATTCATTCGGTGCAGGCTGCTGTGAATTGCCTGTACCTGGTGTCACCTGGCCTGCCCGTCCCTCCCAGGAACAAGGCATAGTGATTGCACCCCGGGAGAGTGGCTGACCTCGCCACCCCTTCAGCCATCATTGGCTAGGTCTGGGATGTGTCTTACCTCTGTGACAGCCATTCTGCCTTGTGGCGGTCCCTAATAGACATGTGAACTCTTCGTCATTAGATGACTACCTTGGCCCTCTCAAAGGGCCTCGGAGGAAGTTTTGAGGCTCCTCCATGTCCCATTGGTGCCAGAGGGTAGGAGAGTCTACATCAGGCCCTCTCTGCCTGACCCTCCCCTGCCTTGCTGTGGACACAGAGTTGGTGAGGGGAATCTACAGAGTGCCACCTCCAGGGTCCCAGATCAGAAGACCTATGTTCTGCTGACATGGCCTAAAAACTGTTTTATCACCCCCCTCGAAGGATTCAAGCCCCTCTCAGAGACATGCATTATTTTCTTACTCTTTTCTGTCTTCCTTTTGCCCTCCAAGCCTTTCCCTTTAGTGTAGGAGAACAAGTTAATTTCTCCATGTAGCAGGAAACCAAGCCTAAGTCATATCTGTCACCTTGCCTTCCCCCACATATTTCTTAGTAAAAATGCAGTGCTCTGAGAATCCCAAATTCAGCCCCTTGAACTCAGGAGTCCTCTTTTCTGTCAACAGTGGACCTGGTAAATAACAGCCACAGTTTTTACAAATACTGGTTTAAAAGAAAAAAAAAAACTTTTGTTTTGAGATAATTATAGCTTCACATGCAGTTGTAGGAAATGCGCAGAGATTCCCTGCACTCTACAGCCAGTTTCCCCAGCAGCAGCATCTTGCATTACTGCAGACAGCATCACAACTAGGAAATGAACATTGCTACAATCCACCAGTCTTATTCAGATTTCACCAGCTATCACCAAGGGATTCCTAAATCTTTCCTAAGAAAGTTTCCAGGCCTGCTTTGTAGTGAACTTAAGTGATATTCTTGTTCTGGATAGGATGTGGGTTTAGGGATAACTGAACTGATCATGAAATAGAGATGATGAGACTAATATTGAAATGATTGTTTCAAAATGTGAATATACCGTCTGTGGAAGTTCTAAATAAGATATTAGCATTTCAGTCACGTTATAGGTCACTCACAGTGCCCTTAGCATGGGCTAATGGACTGTCCTCTAGAGAGGCTGTCTCCAGAGCTAAGCGTCTTACTCCAGTCATGGTACGTAGAGCCTGTGTGCAGATATGCCGACACGTTTGGTG